TAATCTACAAACTGGAAGGTAAGTGCAAAACATTTGTAACAAAAGACTGCTTAACAAGAATCCCTACAAATCATTAAGAAAAGACAAATCTGATACTAAAAGAGGAAAAATACCTGTACAGACATTTCAAACAAGAGGAAACGTATAGCCAAAAATGAGTATAAAGAGCCATTCAGCCTTTTTAAGTAATGAAGGAAATGAAAATCAAGACTACAATGTGAAGTGGTTCCACAACAACTAAAACAAAACGATATACTGTCCAGTTGTGTGCTGCAGCTGGCTTGTGCTGGCTCATAGGAGCTGTGTGCATCTCTTCCCAACTCGGCTTTCAGTGATGTCACATTGATAGCTTGAAATCAGCCATGTTAGGAGAATTTGTACCATGGAATTAAAAAAATGCTACAAATCAGGGATTCTTTTTTCAGAGAGTCAGCTTACTACCACACCATTATGTTACGTATGTTACATGCATAATGCAATAAAATTATTTTTAAAGCAAAAGAATAATAAACATAAAATTCAAGAGAGTGGTTGGAGGAAGTCAGGGGGACACGATAGAAGAGAAGCACATGAGTAGACTGAAATTGTTAACGGTCTAGTACTCGAAGTGAAGATTAGTTCACGAAGGGTCAATATATTATTAATAAAAAAGATGGTCACGTATGGACCAAAAATGACAGTAAACTAAAAAATCATGAACTAAGGATTATGATTTATCCACTTCTTTGTACCTGAGGGTTATTAATTTTTTCTAGATCTGTTTTAGTAAAGTAAAAAATACATGCTCCTCTATGCCCACATAAGACCTTATAGCAGTTGATCTTAACTAATTTTAGATTAGTCTCCACTGAGAATGTGATGAATGTCATAGAAGCTCTCTGCCCAAAAATGTAGGTAGCACACACATACATATCAAATTCTGCATCTACTTTTTGGGGGTTAGTGACACATGGAAGACAAATGCAATCGAGATCTGTTGGTGATAACATGAGAAAAACAATAGTTTTGGGCGATGAGAGGATGGTGTCAGTTCAAGAAGTAATAATTTAAATACTGGGTAAGGCATTTTTCTTACCTAGCCTCACTTTTCTCATCATAAATGAGGAGCTGAATTAGATAATTGCTAAAGTCATCTCCAGCACGAAAATTAAGTCTATAAATAAGTCAGGCCTCTTTTTAATGAATTTAAAAAAAAAGAAAAGAAGTTCTTAATAAAAATTTCAGGCATACCTTTTCTCCGCTTAGAAAACCAGACATCTGCTTCTGACAAAAGCTGTTTTAAAGATCCATTCCAAGAAGGCACAAGTTGAAGGAACATCCACTAGGTTAAAAAAAATTAGATGAAAGAAAAAAATCATAAGACTTCACAATTTTATTATTTTACATTTCCAAACTGCTTCCATAAAACATAATACCTAAACAATTTAATTTCCAATTTATAAGCAACTGAAAGAAAGAATTTGACATGCTTACAAGCTTTAAATTCATCATGGCATTAATCATAGTTCAATGATAAAAAATTGGCTGTGTGCGTGCTAAAGAGTAAACTAATCCCTGAAAAGTATTATGGTCACAAACACACCATAGATTACTATATCGAAAAGGTAAAGGTTTAATAAAGTAATTTTATACTAATTTATTCTATTCACTAATTAACAACTCATTACAACTCACTATATAATTTCACTACATGCTACGTGAGATTATAAAAGAAATAAAAAATGGGAAAAAGGAGTTTCTTTGTCTTATTGCTATTGAAACAGTATGCTGAATTGTTAAGAACATGGACTTTTAAATCCTGGACCTGCCACATAATAGCTGGGCAAATTACCTAATTTTTCTGGGCCTTAATTTTTTCATTTGTAAAATGAACATGATAATATGTTTATCTCATAATACATTAAAAGAATTAATACATACGTGTAACATACTTAGAATGGTGACTTGCACATAGTAAGCACCATGTAAGTATCATTTATCATTACTAGAATAAAAGCAGTTAAAACAATAGGAAACACTGAATGCTGCCATAGCTAAGAGATAGGAATGTGCTCTCTACCACTCCTTTAAAGATTGGAGAGCCCAGATACCAAACTGCCTTGAAGAAAAACAGTAATGGAATCTCATCTCTACCATAAAAACAAACAAACAAACAATCCCAAGTGTTAAATGCAGACAACACTCCGTGCCAGGAACAAAAGGCTAAGGGCAAAATTATGTAGTGCGAAGAGTGCAAAAGAGTAGGACTTATAATACCTTGGCTTCTGCTTCAAATCTGCCACTTAGTAACTGTAAGAATTCTGAGTCTCACCATCTACAGTAAAAGAATAATGGCTGATTTGTCTCTTCAGAGAGTTGTGAAAATAAAACTAGATTAAAAAATGTTGAAGTCTTTCTAAAGGATAAAGTGAAACATATGCCTACAAGTGCAAATCGGCCTTTAAAAGAAGTATTTCAACGTTTTCTAGAAAATGTATGTTAAAAATTTCATCATAAAATCATTAATTCAACTAAAGCTCAATTTTGAAAACATTCCTGAAAATCATACAAAACATTTAAACTCTGTAAGACAATACCTTTTACATATAACATTTCTGATAACAATAACATGTTTATTGTTGAAAAAAATCTGGGAAAAAACCAGAAAGGTATTCCTATACAGGTTGAGTATCCCGCATCCAAAAATCCCAAATCCTTCAAAATCTTAAACTTTAAAAGTGCCAACATGGCACACAAAGGAAATTCTCATTGGAACACTTCAGATTTTGGATGTTTGGACTGGAAATGCTCAACTATTTATGTATTTCTGCAAATATTCCAAAATCAAAAAAAACCTCAAGTTCCAAGCATTTAGGATAAGGGCTACTCAACCTGTATAAGCAATGCTGAGGTGATAAGCCTGCATATACCATATTAAGTTAATACCTTTTTTAAAGCTGTGTATACATCCATTTCCACTTGCATCACAAATAAGTTAGATGAACCAATGAGCTGTTTCATAACATTAATACTGTAAAAAATAAAATAGAGGTAATGAGCTTATCCCCATGCACAGGTTGAAAGACCCTCGTAGAACTAAAAACTTTAAATCTTTCTTATCAAAAGAAAATGTGCAATTAAAAATGGCAGCAGTCTTTTGCTCAAGGCAAAGAATCTTAGAAAACTATCTGGACACAAGGACACTTTTAATTCAATGACATACTGTGAAAGGTCTTTTTTTTCACACTGATAGGGAAACAAATAAACAGAGTTTTGATCTGCTGATTAATCAAGTCAAAGCAAGGACCCAACAAGATAACTTTTAGTATGCTCTGACAAAGTAGCATTCTTCCTCTTTTGCTGCCCCATTTCTATGTTAAAAAAAAAACTGCTGATTAATCAAGTCAAAGCAAGGACCCAACAAGATAACTTTTAGTATGCTCTGACAAAATAGCATTCTTCCTCTTTTGCTGCCCCATTTCTATGTTAAAAAAAAAATTTTTTTTTCACTGAAACAGCTATATCTTCAAAGCAATCTTTAACCTCTAAGCTTAACAGAATTGCTTAGTCATAAAATGTTTTTATTACTATTAAAGAGAATAAGATCAAGAAATATGTGTTAGTTTAAATTTAGAATGGAAATATCACGTTTGTTTTGTTTTGCTTTTCCTTTTTTCTTTCCTTCCTTTAAGCCATAAAAATCTAGAAAAACTTCTAGATTTTTAAGATGACCACCATGATTCAGCTTCCTTTGGAAAAAGCTCAACGAAAAATTATGAAAGAGAAAGAAATTAAAGTGTTTCTAAGGATTTTCAAATCAAACACACTGCAGAGATTTGTTTATGCCTTGACATCAGTTGGTGATTAAGCTTCTCAAACTTTTCTACCAAAGTACCTGAAAGGGCAGAAGGAAAAAAAGAACCAAGAATCCAAGAGGTGGTCTAGCTATAATAAATAACATTGCTATAAATTGTGTTTTATCTTGACAGTTCAAAGAAATTCGAATTTCCCCTATTCCATAATGTTTTTCAACACAAAAATGTTTACCTCTCTCCCTCCCCTCCAAAAATCAGTAAAATTGACATCCCAGGAAGCTATACAATGTTAAGTCTTTGGTTTCGTACATTTCCACACAATGCCACTTATTCCTGGGGACATCTATACTCTTGTCTCAGAAGTACCACTGTCGAGGAAATGCATGCCTAAAAATTACTGTAAAGTCTATAGCGGCCTTTAAAAGTTCACTCCCACTCTAAATTTCTCAGACCCATCCCAGATATCTTAGCCCCATTACTACAAATAAGCTCCTTGGCAGCAGAGACCATGACATAATCATCTCTGCATCCTTCATAGCCCCTAACAGAGGATCTTTATACATAATGGACATTCAGGATGTTATACGTTAAAGGAAGGAAAGAATGAATAAATAATGAGAACTTAATTCAAAAGGCCAACCTAATTGTAAATTTAATTTCATTAGACTTAGCAAAAAGTTTAAAACTATTTCCTCAAACTTAAGGTTTCTAAAACCACCAAAGACTTTACATAAACTACCATAATAATATTTTTGTATTGAAACATAATTGATTATTGAAACATAATTGATTATACATATTTGTGAGGTACAGAGTTGACAATCACTATTTGTGTATGATATGTGAAGAGCAAATCAGGAAAGTTGGCATGTTCATCATGACAAAATGTACTCATTCTTAGTGTCCATTAACCAATTTCTCCCTAATCCCTGAAGGTGGCTTTTAAAATATAACTTAGATTCTCTAAGAGCCCAGCAGAAGTGAGGTTAACACTGGATACATTTCTATAGTTTTACAGCAACAATGCATTTTTCCATTAAAATTGGTAAAACAGCAACCACAGTATATATCATTCACAACAAAGAAATTTGTGTAACATTTCTCCAATTCATGGATGTAGTCAAGATACCTTTCATTACACCGTTCACTTTTTGATAATATACTTTCGTGTTCTACAAAAATATCTTGCATACTTTAACAAATGAAAAACAATATTTTAGGATGATTAATTATAAAGTTATTTAAAATTCAAATACCTGAGCTCTTTAAAAAGTTCAACATTCTGGTGAGTCATCAAATTGTTTAAAAGCCATTCGAGGCACCTGAGATTAAAATATGTAATTACTATATAATATATCATGAAGTTACAATTTATTAAGTAGGACTTAAGTTAAAACAAAAATAGAATATTAATCTTGCTAGGACATGCTCGAAATTTTCAGCTTAATAATAAAAAATTTAGTATTGTTTTTGTCAGTAGTTATTAAGAGAATATTTCCTTTACATTAATAAAAACATTTCTAATTAAGAAAACTTCATTTGTGTTAAATGATTTATGGAGGGCTTGCATATTACTATAATCTTTAAAATTTGAAAAACGGGTATTACAATTCTCAAGAGTTAAAAGACTGCCAGAAATTGCACTGATATGTCTATTATGCCTACTCCATAAACAATTTTAATAGAAAATGTACTGTAAAGAGTGATCATAGTTTTAATAAGCATGTATAACCCACCCATGGTCACTTACAAACACAACACTTTTGAGGAATTTACTAATTGGTCATTTAATAGAAAATGTACTGTAAAGAGTGATCATAGTTTTAATAAGCATGTATAACCCACCCACGGTCACTTACAAACACAACACTTTTGAGGAATTTACTAATTGGTCAAAAAGTAAAAAGGGCTTTTTTATATAACAAAATTCTTATCTCCCTATCCTTTTTAAAAAAATATTCTTTCTTATAGCTATACTTTCTCTTAAGAAACAAAAGCAACTGAATTCCCAGCAGTGGGATGGGTGGAAAAAACAAGAAAGGTAACTCACTTTTTCTTTACAGAATCTAATCCATAGGTCCCTGCTGATGTGTAATAGCCACATACAGTTTTCACATTAATCGTTTCCTTCATTGTCTCACCACACTGCTGTATTAAACCATCCTGTAAATATAAATAAGCACTGGAAAGGCCCATTTCATGTGGGAAAAATTAGCTTTGATATGTGCTTTTACATGTTAAGCAAAAAAAAATCTAGCAAGTATTCAATTAAATACTTGGAATTGAAAAATGAAAGCAGGGGTGGGGAGCAGAGCAGTAAGGTAGAGATGAATATTACTATTCTCTTTTCTATTCTTCCCCTCTCTGGGACTTTTGTCAGTTTCTTAGCAGCACTATCTGTTTTGTCTGTTCTTTTTAAAATTAAAACCTCTACACAGTCGGCTAACAATGTGATGGGTTAGACAAATAAACAACATAAATTATCTAACGGTGTTTATTAAAGTTTAAAACACCTGTCAATACCTAAGAGATGCACCTAAAACAAGTATATTACTGTTTTAAACAATTTACACTAAACTTTTAATCCAAAATGTTTATATAGAAGGTTTCAAATGAACTAACTTTAATTTATGGAGAGGATATTGTCACTTTTCATTCAAATTTCTGAAATATATATATCATGCAAGTATATTATTAAGTTAAAGAACTAGTAAATCATAAAAATAATGCAGAAAGTGGATTAAGAACAAAATCAAAAGGATCAAAGTTAGAAAATAAAGTATACTTATTGGAAATAAGTATTAAAAGGATCAAAACATTTCAAAAATCAAATGATCTCAGCCAAGGATATTTATCAAACTATTAACTAATACTTCAAATAAATTGGTATATAAATGCCACATAAAAAGAAACATTTTAAAGATTAAAATAAAATATTGACTCCATTAGGATTTTAAACTTACTTAGAAGTCTTTCTAGACTGCTCCTCTTTCAACATCTCATTTGTCATCAAGTCCAATGGATTATCACTAATTAATCTCTCTGATATTCATTTTTTCCTTCTCTGTGCTTATTGCTACTACCCTAATTTAGACCCTCACTTGGATACTGCAATAAGCTTTTGTCCCTAATGTTGTACTCATCTTTCCTTCAATCCATCCTTCACGTTATTCCTAAAGTAGTCTTTCTAAAATGTAAACTTTGTCTTTCCCCTAAATTAACATCTTCCAAAGGTACTTACATGTAAAGGCTGAACTTCTTACCAATGTATAGAGGGACTTTCAGGATCTGGCTTCTGCCTCCCTCTCTCCAGCCCTTCTTATATTTATGTTAGAGGCATGCTCCTTTTAGATTCTCTAATCTTCCACTGTTACACGTCTCTAGGTCTTAGCTTACTGTTACCTCTGTTTGAAATGCTCTTCCTTCTCTCTTCTTACTGTGCAAGATAAATTAACTTTCAAACATAATTTCCTTCTGTGACACCACAAGGTTGTATTGACCATTCCCTTCTTTACGCATCCAATAAATCCTACAGGATGTTTATTATCATACCTACGATATTGGACAGCTCT